ATGGAACAGCAGCCATGCATTTCTTTGCTTCTATTATTTTGGTAGTTTTACAACATACTAAACATTTTCTCTTTATGGCTGCCATTTGATAAATCCACTCCAATAAAATATCCAAGTTATTTTACACAAACACCTCTCATGTATCATCAAATAAGAGAAAAATATTTAATTTCTTTCAACACCTACTTTTAGAAACACAAACACATTCCAATCCTTTGCTTTTATCTTCAGAATTCAAGAGATAGTAACCAAAGCCTTCTGCTTCCAGAATCCCACCTTTAGATACAGATGATACCAAAGAAAAGCCATCTGGAACTTGTTATGCATTTTTCAAAAACTGTTAAGAGTTACAAAACAAGCAGCAGCAGAAAACTGTTTTCTACCAAAAGTTTTGCACACAGAAGTTTTAGTGGCAAAACCAACTAGCTGAACATATAATGCACTTTTAAAGGTTTTTAACACTTGTTGTGTCATCTTTTTAACAAGACGTGTAGTTACAGGATAAGGACCAGTGGCTTTAAACAGGGAATCAATTTATACTGTATATTAGGAAGATTTATTTTTTAATAATAAGGAAGATGAGGCACCAGAACAGATTGCACAGAGAAGCTGTGGATACCCCATCTCTGGAAGTGTTCAGACAGGCTGGATGGGGCTTTGAGCAGCCTGGTCTGGTGAAAAGTGTCCCTGCCCAAGGCAGGGGAGTTGAACTCGATTAACTTTAAAGATCAGTTCAAACACAAATCATCCTATGATCTCCACTCTTGTAATTCCCCTCAGGCATTTTAGACTTTTAAAATAAGCACCTCAAAGTTTTCTCTTAAAGCTCTGTCCACGGCTGTGAGGATTTTTTACAAGCATCCTCATTAACCTCTTCAAACACTTTCCTTCCCTACTGTTGTCAGAAACCAAAAAACATCAGCCAGATATAGTTTGTATATTTTGGGGGGGGATTACATCTATACACACACACACACACACACACACAGTGTACAGTTAATACAGTATGCAATAACAAATACAAGAAACAGTGTTTTAACTCACTCTGGTTTCTAGCGTGGGCATGGATCTGCTGAGAACGCAGCTTCTGTGTCAGGCAGCTCAGCCTGCACTGCCTCACACAGCAGAAACACGATCCACAACTTCAGACTGTATCTGCTTTAAGATTCGTTGTCTTTTAATTTAAGGTGTAAGCTAAACCTTTAGTACACTTTCAGCACGTTCTGCATTCCTACGTAACCTTGCATGCGCAACGTGTGTTGTCTTTAGGAGAGCGTCTTCAGACAGGTACACTCCCAGCAAGAAAACTACAAACTTTTTAAAGTTTGGGGCACGCAGGGTCAGTGGCCAAAGAACTTCACCTCCCCACTACGGAATAAGGAGTGACACCTGCGAACAGCTGCGCACCTGAAACTTCTGGACGCCAGAAAAGTCTGACTTTGCAGATGTGGCAGCTATGGCGAGACACCCACCCTGCGCCACACGGGCGACCCCGAGCACTCGGGTAACACGGCCCCCCGCCAGTGGGCCGGGGGTGGCAGCGCGGCGCCGAGAGAGCGCAGCGCTCGCAGGGACAGCCCCGCGGCCGGACGGGCCCCGCGGCCGGACGGGCCCCGCGGGGGCGGCGGGCACAGCCCCGCACCGGGGACCGGACTCACCGCTCTCCTTGCCAGCCGCGGTGCTGCCCTGGCAGCGGTGCGGACTCAGGAAGTCGCGAGCCAACTCCAGGTCCTGGAAGTGGGCGAAGGGGACGAGGGCGCAGGACATGCTCCCGCTGCCAGTAGATCCACCGCCGCCACCCAACCCGGAAATGTTCGGCTACTTCCCTCCGGCCCGGCGCGGTCCCGCGCATGGCGCATGCGCCGTGGAGGGCGGGGCCCGAAGGGGAGGTGCTGAGGCAAGAGCGCTAAAGGCAGCGCCCTGCAGGGCACCCCATTGCGATGTTTAATCGCACTTTCTGTGGAGCATTTCCTCCCAACGTCCGACATGCACTTCCCCTGGCGCAGCTTGAGGCCATTTAATCTTATCCTGTCGCTAGCTGCCTGGGAAAAAAGTGCTAGCGCCCACCATCCACAAGCTCCTCTCAAGTAGCTGTAGAGAACTATGAGATCATCCCTGAACATCCTTTTTTCCAGGCTAAACAGCCCAAACTCCCTCAGTGGGATTTTACTATCTAGACCTAATATTGAATCAGCACAGCCCAAAACCCCCATGTTACTTTGATGAATAGCAAACATGGTTAGTGAAAACAGGGTTTCTTTCAGTCTTGACTGCTCTTGTAAATATAAAGCTTTTATTTAGATTTAATGTCAACCCATTTCTATTCCTTTTCTGGACACTGCAGCATCTGAGTGACAGCAGCAGTTATGGTGATTGAGATTTGCACTGGAGTGACATCAGTACAATGCTGACAGCTGACCTGCAGCCTCCAAAACCTCCTCTTCAGGTAAGGAGAAAAAAATGTGTGACAAGAACATCAAGGGATGTTTTCTGGACCCCAAGGAAATAGAAATTTCCCTATGCATAAGACTTGACAAATTTTGAATGGCTCTCACTTGACTAGCCTTTATATGTGTACACACACACACACATATATATATGTATATAAGAACTCTTTCTTGTTTTCTGACAGGGCTCTTTTATGTGATAGATAGCAATGTATGTCTTATGTAGCTAAAAGCAGATATAACTGAGAAAAGCAGAAATAACTGAGAAAGTCCAAGGTATTCTGCAAATTTGGTTTGTGTTCTAGGTCTTCTATGTGTCTTTAAATACCTTCTAAGATTAAACAAATTTTTACTAAGAGAAGTTTCATGCCAAATGGGCTCCAGTTGGACTGTCCTAAAGGCACAGACTATAACAGGTTATAAACGCCAGAAAATCTCTTGTGAGCTTTGCAAAGAAACTGGCTTATATTTACCCAAACACCTTTTTAATGTCTTCAGCTATTCTGTTTTGTTGTAGTGATGTGCTGGTTTGAAATGTAGTGGGAAAGTTAACCCCACTGAACTGCATCTCCTCCTCCACTCTCTTCCAACAAGCAACAAAAAACTAGCAGGAATCACAATTTTGCTGAAAAGCTTGTAATAAATGCAGTACCAATAAAAGAGGGCACAAAAGAGGCAATACCCACAAGAGGGTATTCAGCATGGAACAAACACAAACACTTCCTGAAGAGAGAGAGCCTGGCATTGTTTCTTTTTGCTAGCTTTAATATAATTTCTTTGATATAGTGCACTATATTACCCTGTACTATACACTACTAGTAGTTTTAACTTTTGTATTGGTTAAGATCTTTCATCTAATAATATGCCATAATGAATAATTTATTCTGTATAAAATATACCTGAGGTGGCAGCAATGGGACTCTGCAGTGGCCATGGTGGCTTTATCTGGGTGCTGAGGAGCCATGCAGTCCCAGCCTCTTCCACGAGCCTGCAAAAACATGAGGAGTTTCTGCTTCCAGATTTCCTGCTGATACCATGGCCCCACAATGAAGTAGGTAGTATTGAATTAAAGAGTGCTAGAAACTCCATCTATGGTCTTTTCCTCTGTACGCAGGACAAGTATTCAGAGCTCAGTAATTTTGCCCTTGGCAACTACAGGAACATTTTTGTTTACATTTCAAATCTGTGTCTCCTCAGGCAATACACAGGTTAGACTTGAATTTAAGCAGATGAATAATCATGTGGCTATCCAGTAGAGAGTTGTTCAATCCTGTTTTTCTGAACAAACGTAGAATTACATGATGTGGAGTAATAGGAAGGATACTCTTCAAAAACAAGGTCACAATGTGGGAAAAGTTGAGACAAGAGGCTGGTGGATTTGCAGATGCTCTCAGTAAAATTATAGAGCCTGTAAAGAAAACTCTTTAATGATATTTTAGAATTGTAACATGCACGGTCACTAGTAATATCAACTGAATTAATAAAGAGTATGGAAGAAATTAAATTAACAACATGGTTTGTCATTCTTTAATGAAGCTTTCATCACATTATCAAAATTTTCCTCATTAGACAACAGTGAATAGTGTAAGACTGTCATATCCCCTGCCTGGTTTGTTGTACATGAAGAAGTCAAGTTAAGAACTATCAAGATACCAATGAAAGCATAAAATAAGGCAATGAATACTCAGCAAATAAGCTGATATTTCAAGACCGTCTTGAGTTAAGATAAACTCATATTAACACTTTGCCTACACAATAACCCTTCATGTGTTTTTTATAAGTTCAATAGTTCCTAATTTTTAATGATTCATTATACATATATGGATGGCTACAGAAAACAAAACTATGTTTTGAAAAACATCTGGCATAATTTTAAGCGAAGTTCCTAAAGACATTCAGATAAACAATTAATAGCCAAAATTTACAATACATTTCCAATAAGAATAATAATTTGCATTGGCATATATGCTGCTGAACAAAGGCCTTAATGCAGTTTACAAAAATAGATAATTAGGCTAAATACAGATTTAAACCATATGAAGTGCAGGTAATGATTTGTTCAGGGTCAACACAAGAAATTACAAAAGGGAAAGGCTTCAAAAGGAGAGACAGTAGGTTTCAATTAGATATTAGGAAGAAATTCCTGACTCTGAGGTTACTGAGGCACCCACATGGGTTGTTGCCCAGAGCGGCTGTGGATGCCCCATCACTCAAAGTGCTTGAGAACAGGTTTCTGAGCCAGGGGCTGGGCAACAGCACCTAGTGCAAGCTATCCCTCTCTCCCAATGGCAGGGGGGTCAGACCTAGAGGATCTCCAAGATCCCTTGTACCCCAAACCATTCTATGGTTCTTTGATTCAATGTTGTTCCTCCCTCCATGACCATTGAGCCACAGATCCCCACAATGCCCAGAACATGGAACCCACCTCTCCATGACATCAGTCCCGGGGCCAAGGGCACCATGGGCAGCGCAGCTGCTGTGGGCACTGCAGCTGTGGCAGTGCTGCTGCACGGAGCCCTCAGTGCTTGCAGCTGACACGTACCTCTGGCAGCCATGAACTGGTTCAGCTTCCTCATCCTGCTGACCGTGGCCAGGCTGGCTCACAGCATACAGAACACTTGCGGGTAAGTGGCCCTGAGGGGGAGCCACTGCAGCACTTGCGGCCTTCCCTGGAGAGTACCTGCCTGTCCCCCATGGCCAGGCCACAGCTTCCCACCCACCACAGGAAGCCCCAGTTCCTTGCCAGCAACCAGGTGCTGGCATGGACAGACGCACAACCCATGGGCTTCCCTGGCCTGCTGTGTGTGCAAGCCCTTGTGGGGAGGGCAGAGGGCTGAGCTTCAGCCTGAGCCACAGCAGGCCATGAAGCAGCACGGAAATTACTTTCTGCTTGCAGATGGACTTGCGGCCTCCGACCCATGATGTCTGACTCCATACCTCATGATGACGCCATGACACGCATTGTGGGTGGCACAGGGGCCAAGCCAGGGGCCTGGCCGTGGATGGTCAGCATCCAGCACCCCTGGATACCAGGCCCAGGGCATTGGTGTGGAGGGTCCCTCATCACTGCAGAGTGGGTCCTCACAGCAGCCCACTGCTTTGACAAGATCAAGTAAGAAGGAGCAGGCAATAGGGACACCCCCACAATACCAGCAGGTGACCTGTCAGCAGCACCACCTGCTACTCCCATTCCCTTTCCTCTCAGGCAGCCAGGCTGCCACGCTGCTCAGGAGAAGCCTGGGCTTGTGCCAAGGCTTCCTAGCAGCCTCTAGCTTGACATTCCCTCAGCCTAAGTTGTGTGTGAAGGCACTCACATCTGCCAGAGCACTGCTCCCTCTCTGCCTTGCCAAGCAGAGGTCTAGAAACTGCTGGGCTGCTGTGGGACATGGCTCTGCTCCCTCTCAGCCCTCCGTCCATCTTCCTTTCAGGAAAATCGGCATCTTGAATGTCGTGATTGGGGCCACCCAATTGACTCAGCCAGGCCCTGGAGCACAAGTGCGCAAGATTAAGAAGCTATTTCGTCACAAAAACTATAAGAAAAGGGATATAAGTAATGACATTGCCTTGCTGGAACTGAATGAGCCTGTACAGTGCAGCTCCTACATCCAGGTGGCCTGTGTGGCTGACCCCACCCTAAGAGTCTCAGAGCTGCAAAACTGCTGGATTGCTGGCTGGGGTTCAACCGCAGAAGAAGGTGAGTTCCCAAGAGAGACTCTTGCCTGCACAGCTAGGTCAGCACACTGGGGAGACGTCTTGCGCTTCCCCACAGCAGAGGGCATACCCAGGCTGATGGACGTACACCTCTGCAGAGATGGGACTGGCCTGCTCCCCAAAGGCAGGCAGCAGGATCATAGCACCCCAGTGCCTCTGGAGAGGCAAAACTACCAAGGGAAGGGTAGCCTCTCCAGAGAGGGGAGGAGGAGAACTGGCAAGGAGCTGCTGGGGTCTCATTCCGTTCTCTGCTCACATTTGAAGACTCAAGTGATCACCTCCAGGAGGCCAAGGTCCAGCTCATTGATGTCCAGCTCTGCAACAGCAGTGGATGGTATGCAGGGAAAGTCCACACCCACAACGTGTGTGCTGGTTACCCGCATGGCCGCATCGACACCTGCCAGGTAGGAGCGTGCCACAAGCCACTCAGCCCCCAGCAGCACTGGCAGCCAGGGCAGCACCGCCCCAACACAGCCCAGGGCCTGCTTTGCCTGGCCACTCAGTCGCCCTCCCAGCCCCAGCTCCCCACCGACTGCTCTGGGGGCTTCCCACACATCCCCATCCACACCTGCCTGCCCAGGATTCCCCTTGTGCCAGAAACCCCAAGAGCCCAGCTAATGCTCCTGGTAGCAGAGGTCCAGGTGCCACATGTCCATCCTCTGCACATGCAGGAGTCCTGTGCAGAAATGACAGAGAGAGCCCTACACTATAGGACCCCATGTCATTCACAGCCAAGCTTCTGGAGGCTCAAGCGCTTGGGTACAGTTCTGGCAAGGGCTATGAGAGAGAAGGAGACAGCTTAGTGCTGACAGGGGCCACCCAACACCACCTTAATCCTCTGTGCTCTGCTGCAGGGTGACAGTGGTGGTCCGCTCATGTGCCAGGACAACCATGCTGATTACTGGTGGGTTGTTGGAGTGACCAGCTGGGGAAGAGGCTGTGCCAGAGCAAAGCGGCCTGGAATCTACACCTCCACTCAGCACTTCTATGACTGGATTCTGGCCCACATGGGGCTGAACCCATTTGGAAGTGCTTCCTGAACAGCAGGGTGGGCAGGATCCAGGGCACATTGCAGTGCATAGCAATTGTTTTCTGCGGGGGAATGCCTGCTGATAAAAAGGCAGCCTCAGGGTCAAAACTCTGTCCTGACCATACTCCTCTCCTCTGTGCATGCAGACACTGGAGATGACTTAGTTGTTGAAGTAAAGTTGCCTATGGTCACAGGGAACCATGTTTTCAGTGCAATTCCAACTCCTGGGCCAAGTCAGTGCTATTCCAGGCAATTCCAACTCCAGGCAATTCCAACTCCTGGGCAAAATAAGGACAGCCACAACTGGCAACTGCAGAATGGGCCTGAGGACAGATGTGCCAGGCACAAAGGGACAGAGCAGCTCCAAAGAGCTACTCACAGCCAGAATGCCTGGTCAGAGGTGGAGAGTGCCATGAGCCACCATGGGCTGGAGAAACTTGATACATCAAGCCTAGGAAAGGGATAGAAAAAAAGCAGACACCTTGGGGGTGGTGCTCAAATGCACATGGGCTGCAGATTAGGACCTGGTGTGAACCTGGGCTAAGGGAACAGTTCTGGGAAACTCCCAAGCATGACAAGGGAAACTCCTGGCTGGAGTGCCAGTACCCTAAAGCAGAGCCAGATTTCACAGGCAGTAAAGGGACATTGATTTGCCAAGTGGTCACACTTCACAGATACTCAAAGGAAGTGCTGGGGTCATTCTGGGGAGAGGAACCTGTCAGGAACTGTGGAAAAGTACACCAGGAACGCCATGGAAGGCCAAGGTGAGTAGGCCAACACCACCTACAACACCAAGGCTGTTGACAAATGCTCCAGCAGTGGTGCCCTTGGGTCCCATCTGGGCTGCCAAAGTGCTGTGAGGAAACTCCCCTGTGTGACCATTCTGGAGACACAGGTGACTCCAACGAGCTCATGGTTGCCCCAGCTGATTTCCTATTCACACTACTGTCACCCAGTCAGAGCAGTTTTTCATACCCATTCAACCTCAGGATTCTCCCAGCAGACTCACAGATGTCACATTTCATAAAGAGCCTCCAGCTCCTGCTGCAGCTCTCAGTGTTCATTCAAATCCCTGGCCAGTGCCACAGCTCCCTGTGCTCTCTGTTATGCAAAGCATGGGCAGTTCACAGCCTCTGGTCCCAGGTTCCTGCCAGCCAGAGCTCAATCTGCAGCTGGCACTGCAGCTGCACACCCAGCTCCCTGCCCCAAATGGATTCCTCAGCTGCTGCCTGCCCCGGGGACTGCAGAGCCTCATCCTGCAAGAAGAGGGGCCTAAAGAAAGCAGCAGAGAACCTTCTTACAAGGGCAGGTCCTGATAGGACAAGGGGCAATGGCTTTACAGTGACAGAGGGTATGTGCTAATCACATATCCTCTGAACAGAGAGAAACATAGCTCTCTCTCAGGATTTTCCTGGGAAGCTGTCAGAAGCTGTGAGAAAGCTCAGAGAAAAGAATGAGAAACAATTCTTATCTCCAGTTGCTGCACCTGTTGTTGTGCAAATGTGGAATGTGTTATGGACATTTGTTTACCAGAGGGTGATTTTTTAATTACACTCTGTTGATGGTGGTTTGGATTCATTGACCAATTGGATCCACATGTGTGTCGTGACTGTCTGGCAAGGGCAATGGGTTTTTCTTAATAGTGTAGTATAATAAAGCAATTGATCAGCCTTCTGCAATCATGGAGTCAATGCTCATTATTCCCACATTGGGGACATCTTGCTACAATAAGGGTAGCTTCAGCTAGGATCAAAGGAAGGAAATCTTGATTCTGAGAGTACTGAGGCAAAGGCATGGGTTGCCCAGAGCACCTGTTGATGTTCCATTCCTGAAAGTGTTCAAGGACAACTTCTGAGCCAGGCTCTGAACAACTGGTTCTAGTGAAGGCCATGCCTCCATGCCCAAGGCAAGGGTGTTGGAGCCAAATGATCACCAAGGTCCCTTCCAACCCAAACCATTTTGTGGCTCACCGATTCCATGTTGCCCCTCCCCCAGTGGGTCCCCATGGCACAGAACACCACAGTGCCCAGAACACAGAACCCCCATCACTGTGACATCAGCCCCGGGGCACCACAGGCAGCACAGCTGCTGCAGGCACTGCGGCTGTGGCTGTGCTGCTGCATGGAGCCCTCAGTGCTTGCAGCTGACGCGTGCCTCTGGCAGCCATGAATTGGCTCAGCCTCCTCATCCTGCTGACCATGGCTGGGATGATGCACGGGTCATGGGACAACTGTGGGTAAGTGGCCCCAGACCCTGGTGGGGAGCCGCAGCCTTCCCTGGAGAGTACCCGCCTGTCCCCCATGGCTGGGCCACAGCTTCCCACCCACCACAGGAAGCCTCAGCTCCTTGCCAGCAACCAGGCGCTGGCACGGACAGACACACAACCCATGGGCTTCCCTGGCCTGCTGTGTGTGCAAGCCCTTGTGGGGAGGGCAGAGGGCTGAGCTTCAGCCTGAGCCACAGCAGGCCATGAAGCAGCACGGAAATTACTTTCTGCTTGCAGAGGGATATGTGGGCTCCGACCCATGGTGTATGAGTATGAGTACATGGATCATGACGACGGCACAACACGCGTCGTAGGTGGTGCAGATGCCAAGCCAGGAGCCTGGCCCTGGATTGTCAGCCTTAAGCATCCTGCAGTACCAGGCACAAGACACCTCTGTGGGGGATCTCTCATCACGGCAGAGTGGGTCCTCACAGCAGCCCACTGCTTTGACAAGATCAGGTAAAGACATACCAGAAATGGGGACATCCCCCACCAACAGGTACTCTGTCAGCAGCATCACCTGCTACTCCCATTCCCTTTCCTCTCAGGCAGCCAGGCTGCCACACTGCTCAGGAGAAGCCTGGGCTTGTGCCAAGGCTTCCTAGCAGCCTCTAGCTTGACATTCCCTCAGCCTAAGTTGTGTGTGAAGGCACTCACATCTGCCAGAGCACTGCTCCCTCTCTGCCTTGCCAAGCAGAGGTCTAGAAACTGCTGGGCTGCTGTGGGACATGGCTCTGCTCCCTCCCAGCCCTCTCTTCATCTGCTTTCCAGGAAAATTGGCATGGTATATCTGGTGATTGGTGCCACTCAGTTGACTAAGCCAGGACATGGAGCACAACTGCGACGGATTAAGAAGTTAGTGCGTCATGAACGTTATAATCCAAGTGACAAAAGTAATGACATTGCCTTGCTGGAACTGAGCAAGCCTGTTGACTGCAATCCCTATGTCCAGCTGGCCTGTGTGGCTGACCCCACCCTAAACCTGTCAGACCTGCAGAACTGCTGGGTGGCAGGTTGGGGTTCTACTGCTGCAAGAGGTGAGTTCCCAAGAGAGACTCCAGAGCCAGCTCAGCACACTGAGGAGAGAGCTTGCGCTTCCCCACAGCAGAGGCCAAACCCAGGCTGATGGATGTGTACCTCTGCAGAGATGAGCCTGGCCCGCTCCCCAAAGGCAGGCAACAGGATCATAGCACCCCAGTGCCTCTGGAGAGACAAAACCATGCCCTAGGAAAGGGGATCCCCTAAAGCAGTGGAGCAGAATTTTCAAGGAGCTACAGGGGGATAATTCCTTTCTCTGCTCACAGCTCAAAACTCAAGTGATGTCCTACAGGAGGCCAAGGTCCAGCTCATTGATGTCCAGCTCTGCAACAGCAGTGACTGGTATGCAGGGAAAGTCCACACCCACAACGTGTGTGCTGGTTACCCGCATGGCCGCATCGACACCTGCCAGGTAGGAGCGTGCCATGAGCCACTCAGCCCCCAGCAGCACTGGCAGCCAGGGCAGCACCGCCCCAACACAGCCCAGGGCCTGCTTTGCCTGGCCACTCAGTCGCCCTCCCAGCCCCAGCTCCCCACCGACTGCTCTGGGGGCTTCCCACACATCCCCATCCACACCTGCCTGCCCAGGATTCCCCTTGTGCCAGAAACCCCAAGAGCCCAGCTAATGCTCCTGGTAGCAGAGGTCCAGGTGCCACATGTCCATCCTCTGCACATGCAGGAGTCCTGTGCAGAAATGACAGAGAGAGCCCTACACTATAGGACCCCATGTCATTCACAGCCAAGCTTCTGGAGGCTCAAGCGCTTGGGTACAGCTCTGGCATGGGCTGTGGAAGAGATGGAGACAGCCCCAGTGCTGACAGGGGCCACCTAACACCACCTTAATCCTCTGTGCTCTACTGCAGGGTGACAGTGGTGGTCCTCTCATGTGCCAGGAGAAAAACAGTGATTTCTTCTGGATTGTTGGAGTGACCAGCTGGGGAAGAGGCTGTGCCAGAGCAAAGCGGCCTGGAATCTACACCTCCACTCAGTACTTCTATGACTGGATTGGCATCCACATCGGCCTGGAGACAATTGAAAATGTTTCTTGAGCACCAGGGTGGGCAGCATCAAGGACACATTGCAGTGCACAGCAAGTGTATCCTGCTTGGGCAAAGCCTGCTGATCCAAAGGCAGCCTCAGGGTCAAAACCCTGCTCTGTCCTGACCACACTCCTCTCTGCACACACACACTGGAGTTGAATTAATCGTTGAAATAAAGTTACCTTTGTTCACAGGGAACGACCTTTTCAGAATTCCAACTCCTGGGCAAGACAACTGCCATGCTCAGCACCTGCAGAATAAACCTGGAGAGTGGGGACAGAGTGGCTCCAAATATCTGCAAAGTGAGAAGAGAGAAGAGTGCTCTGAGCCACCATGGGCTGGAGGAACCTGCTACATCCAGCCTCGCAAAGGGATAGGAAAAATGCACACACCTTGGGGGTGGTGCTCAAATGCACATAAGCTGGTGATTAGGACCTGGTGTGAGCCTGGGCTAAGGGAACAATCCTGGGAAACTCCCAAGCATGACAAGGGAAACTCCTGGCTCCTGACTGGAGTGCCAGTGCCCTAAAGCAGAGCCAGATTTCACAGGCAGCAAAGGGGGATTGATGTGCCAAGTGGTCACACTTCACAGATACTCAAAGGAAGTGCTGGGGTCATTCTGGGGAGAGGAACCTGTCAGGAACTGTGGAAAAGTACACCAGGAATGCCATGGAAGGCCAAGGTGAGTGGGCCAACACCACCTGCAACACCAAGGCTGTTCACAGGCAGGGCCAACCTGTGAGCCAGGGGAAAATGATGCCTGGACATGGCTCCATATTTGGGAGGAGACGAGGGCAGAGAAAAGGGGGAGTTGAGGAAGATGAGAAGGGCTGTAATAGCCTGGCCAATGGAGAGAAGGAGCAGTCAAAGGGCCAGCTGCACAGAGGCAAACTGCAGCATGGTGGGCTCATTTGTCTGAGGGCTGTAGATAATCACCACAGGGTGGGAAAGAACCTTCTTATCTCAACTCTTTAATTAACAAATCATCTACAAACCGTGCAAATGTGCACTCTAATTTTAAACCCTTTCAATCAAAATTTTATACTGGGGCCTGGGAAGGTGGGGTGTGGGAGTGGGGATGGGGAATGGTAAAGAATCTTGGAATGCCTTGGGGAAGACATGTGCCAAGCACATTCTCTTGGCTTCCAGGCCAGTGGAGTCTCAGAGTGGGTGGCACTCTTCCCTTTGTATTAATCAAGATGGGCTGTGCTGAGAACAGCCACCCCACATCTGTACTGGTCCCTTCCACCCTGACTTATGTCAGGGGCTGCTAGCTTACAATACTGAGTGCAAGAGTCTCACTCAAGGCTGCAGAATGCCATTACCCTGCCCAGTGAGGAGACCAGCTTAGAGTCACCCAATCACCCTGGCACAACTTTACTTGTGCCTTGGCAAAATCCTACTGCCCATAAGAATTTCTGTCAGTGTTGCACAAGCTCAGCCACAGGTGTCCTCTTAACTACAAGAATATTTCCCGTCATGTCAAAAACCACAAGGGACGTAAAACTCCTTTTTATGGCAAAAAGGGACTTCCACCCCCTTCTGTGTGTGCCCAGGAACCCTGGCACAAGGCACACAAGGCTCTCCCTGTGCCTCTCTCCAAAACCCTTTGAGCAGAGACTCGAGTGTCCTAGCAGAGACTCAATGCCCCCCACGCCACATCTTATGGGGGCCTTCACAACTCCTCTGTGGCCGCCTTACAGTGATTATGCTGTGCATGCCTTCACCCTCTACCAGTGATTTCATCACCTCTGCAACAAATGCCACAACAATAGAAAGGCTCAAATGCACCCATATAATTTACACAGAGTCTGCGCATGGAATTGTAACACGCCCCATTTAGCTCCTTCCTGCTCTAAAGATCCCGATGAACTCACCTGCTGCCAACAGCTGCCATGTTTGGAGGAGCGAGGCTCTAAGGGTACTTCTCTACAGTCCCATCTGGGCTGCCATAGTGCTGAAGAAACTCCCCTGTGTGACCATTCCAGAGGCGCAGGGGGCGCCAACAATCCGATGGTCGCCCTGTTTGACTCCCTACTGATGCCACTCTCACCCAGTCAGAGCAGGTTTCTGTTGCAGTATGATGTCATGGCTTGCCTCAGTTACCCCAGTCGTTCCCCAGGTGTCAATCACATCTCCTTTCTCCAACCCTGACTCCTGCTGGGCACTGTCTATCAACCCAGAAATTCCAGAGGAGCATCAAGTGATTGGGCAGATTCAAAAGATGCCCCCCACAACATTGGAAAGGCATTGGGGCATTCAGGCATCCTTTTCCCTGAGGCCTTCTCCCCCTGTACCTGGATTGGTGGTCCCTGTGTTCCCTCCCCTCCCCCTCTCCCCTGGGTAAAAAGGGCAAGCACCACACACGCGGCAAGGGAGTTCTTGTGGAGTTGTTGCTACATACAGGGGTCATGTGGTCCTGAATAAAAGCTCTGGATTAAACCCTCCATCAGGACTGACTCCTTCCTTCACCATCGCCTTAAAAGGTTTCTCCAGCACAGAGAGGTCTGAGGAGTGACCCTCTTCTACCAAGAAGCTCTAGCCTGTAAGCACTGGAGCTCGGACATGTCTAGGCTTACTCCATCGTGCCCAGCTGCAACTCATAGCTAGCCAGTGTCTCTGGGATGAAAACACCACAGCTGCCACTATTTGGCTCAGCAGCAGGAGCCAGACAAGCCAAGGCACGTCCCATGCAGTGATACTGGTAAAAACCAATAGGTTTCCATATCCATTCAACCTCAGGATTCTCCCAGCAGACTCACAGATGTCACATTTCATAAAGAGCCTCCAGCTCCTGCTGCAGCTCTCAGTGTTCATTCAAATCCCTGGCCAGTGCCACAGCTCCCTGTGCTCTCTGTTATGCAAAGCATGGGCAGTTCACAGCCTCTGGTCCCAGGTTCCTGCCAGCCAGAGCTCAATCTGCAGCTGGCACTGCAGCTGCACACCCAGCTCCCTGCCCCAAATGGATTCCTCAGCTGCTGCCTGCCCCGGGGACTGCACAGAAGAAGGGGCCTAAAGAAAGCAGCAGAGAACCTTCTTACAAGGGCAGGTCCTGATAGGACAAGGGGCAATGGCTTTACAGTGACAGAGGTAGATGTAGATAAGATCATAAGAAGGAATTCCGGATTGTGAGGCTACTGAGGCACTGGCATGAGTTTGTTCAAAGGCTGCTCTCAAGCCAAGCTCTGGACACTCTGGACAACTGGGTCTAGTACAAGACCCTCCCAATCCCTCCCTGGGATCCCTAGTGCTATCCCTCCCTGCCCATGGCAGGGGGTTGGAGTTAATGATCTCCAAGATTCCTTCCACCCCAAACCATTCTATTTCTCCTTGATTTGATGTTGCCCCTCCCCCACTGGACCCCCTTGACATAGGCCACAGTGCTCAGAATACAGAACCCACCCCTCCATGACATCAGCCCCAGGGTCAAGGGCACCACGGGCAGCACGGCTGCTGTGGGCACTGCGGCTGTGCTATTGTCCAGAGCCCTCAGTGCTTGCAGCTGACACGTGCCTCTGGCAGCCATGAATTGCTTTGGCCTCCTCATCCTGCTGACTGTGGCTGGGCTGGCACAGAGCATCCAGAACACTTGCGGGTAAGAGGCCCCGGACCCTGGGAGGGAACCACGGCAGCACTTGTGGCCTTCCCTGGAGGGTACCCGCCTGTCCCCCATGGCCAGGCCAGAGTTTCCCACCCACCACAGGAAGCCCCAGTTCCTTGCCAGCAACCAGGCGCTGGCACGGACAGACACACAACCCATGGGTTTCCCTGACCTGCTGTGTGTGCAAGCCCTTGTGGGGAGGGCAGAGGGCTGAGCTTCAGCCTGAGCCACAGCAGGCCATGAAGCAGCACGGAAATTACTTTCTGCTTGCAGATGGACTTGCGGCCTCCGACCCATGATGTCTGACTCTGGTTACAAGAGTCGTGACTCCGGCAATACACGCATTGTGGGTGGCACAGGGGCCAAGCCAGGAGCCTGGCCATGGATGGTCAGCATCCAGCATCCGAGGATACCAGGCACAAAGCATTTCTGTGGAGGGTCCCTCATCAGGGCAGAGGGGGTCCTCACAGCAGCCCACTGCTTTGACCTCATTTTGTAAGAAGGGGCAGGCAATGGGGACATCTCCATAACACCAGCAGGTGCCCTGTCAGCAGCACCACCTGCTACTCCCATTCCCTTTCCTCTCAGGCAGCCAGGCTGCCACACTGCTCAGGAGAAGCCTGGGCTTGTGCCAAGGCTTCCTAGCAGCCTCTAGCTTGACATTCCCTCAGCCTAAGTTGTGTGTGAAGGCACTCACATCTGCCAGAGCACTGCTCCCTCTCTGCCTTGCCAAGGTCTAGAAACTGCTGGGCTGCTGTGGGACATGGCTCTGCTCACTCTCAGCCCTCTCTCCATCTGCCTTCCAGTAACACCACCTTGGTCTACGTGGTGATTGGGGCCACCCGGTTAAGTCAGCTGGGTCCTGGGGCACAAGTCCGCCAAATTAAGAAGTTGCTGCGTCATGAAAACTATCAGAGACGTGACATGAGCAATGACATTGCCTTGCTGGAGCTGAGCAAGCCTGTCCAGTGCAGCCCCTACATCCAGCTGGCCTGTGTTGCTGATGCTATCTTAGGAGTGTCAGTGTCACAAGAGCATAACTGCTGGATTGCTGGCTGGGGTGCCACCACTGCAAAAGGTGAGCTCCAAAGAGGGACTCCAGAGCCAGCTAAACACACTGGGGAGATGGTTTGGGCTTCCCCATAGCAGAGGCCAAACCCAGGCTGCAGGACATACAGACGTCTACAGAGATGGGCCTGGTCTGATCCCCAGAGGCAGGCAGCAGGGTCAGAGTGCCCCAGTGCCTCTTCAGAGGCAAAGCCATGTCCTAGGGAAGGGGATCCCCCACAGAAAAGGGAGAAGAACGGGGAAGGAGCTGCTCGTGGCTTGTTTCTTTCTGTGTTCACAGATAAAACCCCAAGTGATGACCTCCAGGAGGCCAAGGTACGCCTCATCAATATCCAGCTCTGCAACAGGACCTTCTGGTACTCAGGGAAAATCCACACCCACAACTTGTGTGCTGGTTACCCGCATGGCCGCATCGACACCTGCCAGGTAAGAGTCTTAATCCTCTGTGCTCTGCTGCAGGGTGACAGTGGTGGTCCGCTCATGTGCCAAGACAACCATGCTGATTACTGGTGGGTTGTCGGAGTGACCAGCTGGGGAAAAAGCTGTGGCAGAGCAAGGCGTCCCGGAGTCTACACCTCCACTCAGTACTTCTATGACTGGATTCTGGCCCACATGGGCACAAACAATGTTTAAATTGCTTCTTGAGTACCAGGGCAGCCTCCAGGGTGTGCCACAGTGCACAGCAATTGTTTCCTGCAGGGGCAATGCCTGCTGATAAAAAGGCAGCCTCAGGGTCAAAACCCTTCTCTGTCCTGACCACACTCCTCTACTCTGTACATGCACACACTGGAGCTGACTTAGTGGTTGAAGTAAAGTTACCAATCATCACCGGGAACCATCTTTTTGACTGAATTCCAACTGCTGGACAAGGCAAGGACTTCCATATTCCACACCTGCAGATTGAGCAGCCTGGACATGGCTCCATATTTGGGAGGAGACGAGGGCAGAGAAAAGGGGGATGAGAAGGGCTGTATAAGCCTGGCCAGTGGAGAGAAGGAGCAATCAAAGGGCCAGCTGCACAGAGGCAAACTGCAGCATGGTGGGCTCGTTTGCCTGAGGGCTGTAGATAATCACCACAGGGTGGGAAAGAACCTTCTTATCTCAACTCTTTAATTAACAAATCATCTAGGTAGTGTACAAATTCACCCCAAGATTTTGTACCCATTTATTCAACCCCAGAATTTTCATTTTGGGGAAAAAATAAATGGTAGGGCATCCTGCAACTCCTCAGGGAAGACATGTACAAAGCTACTCTCTGTCACTGCAAAGCCAGTACCCCTTGTCCTATCAGCACATCTAACAATCATGGATTATCTGGAAGACTGTCCATGGTAAATCCTCCTCTCAGTCTTGTGCCCACTCTTAGGTAGCCTCTCTGCCCTGCTGACCTGAGGTATCATGGGCCTATTGAGCTAGGAAAAACTTCCCCTTGTGTTACCAATCTAAATTTATCTGTAACACCTTGATTTTTTAGCCTGATCCACCTGTTCATTGTTGCCTGACTCTTCAGCACGGGGACATCTACATGACAGGCTTTAATTATCATATTCTCTACCCAGGCACTGATGTCTTGCCATTCTTCAGCAGCCCAGACTGGTTTTCCTCTACACTGTATTTGGCCTTTTTCCACCCTTTCAGCCACCCCCAGACTGTTTGCTACCCGCCACCAGTCAGTGTAGTGGTAGAGTGTTGTCCACTTCTCTTACACAGAAATGTCCAAAGCCAGCTGGGCTATTTTCAGGTCTGCAATCTGACCAGATCCACCTCGTTCTTCAGTAGCTTCTGCAGCTCACAACATAGGGCTCCACACAGCTCTTTTCCATTTCCTACTGGTCACTACAGTACAGCAGAATCCATCAGTGAAGAGGATGTATCATCCTTCACTTTCAGGTCGCTGGTTATATGGTAGGGCTTCCTCAGCACACATTACCTGCTCTTCCTCTTCTGATGATAATCAAAAGTTCTTGCCTTTGGACCAGTTTGCGATGACTGCCAAGATCCCAGGTCAATTTGGGTTTCCTATTCAAGCTCACATGCTATGAGGGTGATCCATTTACTCCAGGTAGCATCTGTGGCATGATGTATTGCAGGGACCTTTCCTTTAAATATCCAGCCCAGCACTGGTAGTCAGGGTACAAGAAGGAGCTGTGTTTCAGTGCCAGTCACTTCTGAAGCAGCTTGAACCCCTTCATAAGCTGCAAGAATCTCTTCCTCAGTTCAGGCATAGCTGGCCGCAGATTCTGTATGCATGACTCCAAAACCCAAGAGGTCAGCCTCAGGTCTTCCCAGGTCCCTTCTGCCAGAGGCTCCAGGAAGGACCATGCTCCATGGCTGTGGTGTGGAGCACATTCTTCATATCCTGTCCTGTCCTGACAGGCCCAAGTGCTACTGCATGGGCAATCTCATGCTTGATCTACTCCAAAGCTTGCTGTTACTCAGGGCCCCGGTCAAAATAATTTTTGTTTTGTGTCATGAGGTTGAAAGGTCTTACAATCTGGCTGTATTCCAGGATGTGCATTCTCCAAAAGCCCAAAGTGCCTAGGAAAGCTTGTGTTTCTTTCTTGCTGGTCAGTGGGGACATAGCACTTATCTTATTAATTATATCTGTTGGCATCAGTCTGCATCCATCTTGCCACTTCACCCTGTGAGAGACAACTGCTCACTTTGAAAATTTAAAGAGGTTTATTAAACCTTAACAAAAATACAACAAAGGACTACATAAGAAAAAAGCTGCAGCACTGGGAACTGCTCCTCACGCATACCATGCAGCCAATTCGTCTTCAAGATGGATGCTCAATCTTTTATACCCCTGGGGGTTGCATCAGCCAGCCCTGGCCCCTCCTAAAGTCTGTCAGTCAGCTCTTCTTTGCCATTTATCGGTGGAGTCTGCTTTCTTGTAACTTGATTGGAGGGTCAGGTGTTGTCATGCCCCACCTCCTTAGCAACAAGCTTTTCCATGCCCGACTGCCCCATGCAAGGGACACATCTGCACGCATTCTTTTTACCTGTCCTAGGCCACCCCGGCTGTCTGATGGTAACAATACAGGGGGGAAAAGGGAACCATGGGGAGAACAGAGGACACCTAAACTATAATAACATAACTATACATCACGAAAGCTTTTCTTAATATTCACACAATAGTTATCCCTTAACTGCGAGAGCCAATCATCTCATTATCCATCTATAACAACCCTTAGGAAATTAATTTCCTGGGTAGGCCCCTTGACTTTACTTCATTTGATAGCAGAACCTGCTTCAGAAGAAGACTCTGGATTATTCTCTCTCCTTTCTCATAAACATCCCCTGCCATGTTCCTTCATACAGTGATGTCATTGATGTACTGCAGATGTTCTGGAGCCTCACTCTTTTCCCATGCAGCCTGGATCAGCCCATGGCAGATGGTGGGGCTGTGTATCCACCCCCTGAGGCAGTCGGTTCCAGGTGTAATGCACACCCCTCCAGGTGAAGGCAAACTGAGGCCTGCACTCTGCTGCCAGAGCAATGGAGAAAAATGCATTGGCAATGTCAATAGTGGCGTACCACTTTACTGCCTCAGACTTCAGCTTGTACTGGAGCTCCAGCATGTCCGGCACGGCAACGCTCAGTGATGGTGTAAATTCATTTAGGCAACAATAGTCCACAGTCAATCTCCATTCCCCATCAGACTTGCACAAAGGCCAAATGGGCTGGTGAAGCATGAATGGGTCTTACTGATCACTCCCTGGCTCTCCAGCTCACGCATCACATTATGTATGGGAATCACAGAGTCTCAGTTTTTGTGGTATTGCCAATGATGTACTATAGTGGTGGCCACTGGTACCTGCTGTTCTTCCACCCTCAGGAGTCCTACTGCAGAAGGGTACTTTGAGAAACCAGGCAGGGTGTCTAAAGACAGAGGGCACTCCGTCTTCACAGCAGGTATTCCAAAAGCCCTCCTGAGTCCTTTAGGGTCTTTGAAATAACCACTCCTGAGGAAATCTACTCCTGAAATATATGGGACCTCGGGACCAGTCACAATAAGGTGTTTACTCCACTCCTTCCCAGTCAACTGTACCTCAGCTTCCAACAGAGTCAACTGCTGCGACTCCCCTGTTGACCCAACAATAGAAACAGGTTCTGTCCCCACATGTCCCAGTGGTATTAAAGTACATTGTGCACCAGTGTCAACCAAAGCATTGTATTTTTGTCGTTCAGTTGTGCTAGGGCATTGGATCCACACAGTCCAAATGACCCAATTTTCCCCAGCATTTACCTGGCTGGAGGCCAGGGCCCCTCTTGTCCTGGCTACTATTGACTCCCTCTGCGAACATCCCAGAGGTTCCTTCAAGGGGAAGAACATATCATCGTCTTTTCTGTTATACCTGGCAGCTCATCTACAGGAAACTGTAGCTGCATATCTTATGGTAGAATACCCATGTTAGTAGTTTCCTCCTTTAGTTTACACACCTGTGCTGCCAGACAGAAATTAGTTTTCCATCCCACCTCAAATCTTCCCCATGCTCACACAGAAAGAGCCACAGGTCAGCTTGTGGGGTGTACCACCTCTCCCTAGCTGGGGCCATCTGCATCAGATAAAAGGGCATCTGCACTGTGCTGATGAGACTTAGAGAAGGTCCTCTTTCATCTCCTTCCTGAGTTTCTGATGGGTCTCTTCAGTCCTGTCTTTCACTTTCTGTATATGCGCCGCCAGGTGTGTTGCCACAGCTAAGATTTTTGCTTCTCTTGGGCCATGCACAGTGTCTTCATAGTACCAGAGCCTCTTTGTCCTAGCAGTACTGTCTCGTCCCTCTCCTTCCACTGCAACATTGCTATGACAGGGGTGTACATGCGTGGCTGGATTTGTGCAAGTTTGAGCCACATCACTGCCATACATTTTACGATGTCTGGACTCTCAGGGGTTTGTATTGGAACTTACCAATATTACTGAATGGGACTGCCTTTGGCCTGTCTGTCCTCAGCTGCTGACCAAATAGCGGCACCTGTGGTCCTTCCTCCCAGAGATGCTATTCAGTTACCTGTGGTCACAGCTGGGCACGTGGAGACAAATCCGGGCATGCCCCAAGCTCCAGCGCTTACTGGCTGGAGCTTGCTGTTGATGCAGGGCCACTCCTCAGGCCTTCCTGAGCTGGAGAAACCTTTAAGGCAAGGTGAATAAAGGAGTTGGTCCTGATGGAGAGTTTTTAATCCAGAGTTTTTATTTTGGGCATGGCCTCTGAATCCTGCAACAACTCCACCGAACTCTCCCAACAGAACCCAAACCATGTGGTCTGCTTTCCCTTTTACCTGGGGAGAGGGGGCAGGGGAGGGGACCACAGGGACCACCAACCAGGTATAGGGGGAGGACGTCTCAGGTGAGAAGGACACCTGGGCTGGCCAGTGGCCCCCCAGGGGGTGGAGAGCGTCCTTTGAACCTGCCAATCACTTGATGCTCCCCTTGGAATTTCAGGGTTGATAGGCAATGCCCAGCAGGGGTCAAGGGTGGGGAAAGGAGAGGTGATTGACACCCCACCTGGGGAAGGAAATTTCAGGGAGAAACCAAGAGAACTGAGGCAAGCCATGACATCACACCATAACAGGTTTGATCATCATCTAAGAAAAGGACCTCTAGCACAGCTGGTTTTCTCAAGTATTGGGTTCCTTGCTCCATGGTCTTCCAGAGGCCTTGCTGCAGCTGAAGATCTGGGTTAAAGTATCTTTCTTTCATACTTGTTAAGAGCTGTGTCCAGAGGCTGAGAGGTTTGGGCCTCCTTGCAATCCCCTGGTCAGTACATCACATGACAGAGGTCGAAAATGCCTCACTTCAATACCATCCAAAATTGTATCATAGCCTGCAGTGTCCCAGGTTTGGACCAACCCACATAATATAGACTCATCAGGCCATTGGCTGAGATATTTTCTGAGATTGTGAAGGCTTTCTAAGGATAGAGACTTGGTGATTATTTCTGGTTCCAATTCCTCTACTGGTTGTGAGGGTCCTGACTTCCCACCATCATCCACTGGGTGAGTGGATTTAGTTTTGTGTTTCCTTCTCTGGACAGGGGTAATTGCTGTTGGCTTAGGCTCACCATCTGGCTTAGCTGCAGCCAGAGTGCCTGGGGTGTCTGCTGATTCATCCTCCTGCCCCTCTGGCTGTATTTGCTGTCCTACAGTGTCTAGCAGTGTATGATAAGCATTAGCCAGAGCCCAGCACATTGCAATGAGTTTCTTCTCTCTAGAGCTGTCATTACAATTTTTTTTTTCAGATATTTCCCTACCTCAGCTGGATTCTGAATTTGTTCAGGGTGAAAGTTTCAAACTATGGGGCACAGAATTCCTTCAGGGTTTGGCCTATGTCCTTCCACGTCCCACACCACTCAAGATTTTCCACCACTGGGGCAGATGTCTGGACAACCTCTCTGGAAATCTGAACCCTGGTTCTAAATGTCCTGTAAGTCTTAAGGAGGAGAGCTAGCAGAATTTTGAAAAAGAAAATATGGTATCTTTAACATCCAGAGGGAATGGAATATTCTCAAAAGGTGACATGCCAGATCTGAAGAGGAAGAAGGAGGTAAAAGGCTGGGAAAAATCATCCCCTACTTTTCCCCCAACAGACTGTGTGTAATTGTTAATAAATCCCAAAAAAAGACTGTCAAAGCCAGCACAGGAAAACAGCAGAGAATACCATGCCAAATAACTCTCATTACCTCTGATGTCTTTCCATAAATTATTAGCACAGAACATATCAACACAACAATTCTGATTCGCATCCCTGTTATGTAGGAGATATATACCAGGGCTAGGGTTGCCAATATATATGGATAAGAACACATGCCTAGGTGCCATGAAGCCATTATTGAACAGGCAGCATGGTAATCATTGACTATTGTAGCCAGTAAAAAGTCTTTCAGACAAGAGTGTTTTTTTGTTTTTTTTCACTTTCTCTTGCACCCTTAAGTTGGGCAACAAATTTTGTCTCATTTTGAGATTTAGAAGAGAACATCTGTGTTACCTCCTTTAGACTTTAGACTTCAAGAATCCCTTTCCACCAGTAAGGAATGAATACTAATAAATGAAAGTGAAAAAAAAAAACCCAACAAAACCCCAACATTTTTGTTGACAAACCAAATGCCAACAGGCAGGAACAAATAAAAGTAAATAACTTGTACATATCAAAGTGTTAGATCTCACTACCCCACCAGAACAAAAGGAGACCCAAAATGCTGGAGAATAGCCGTTCCTGATACATGATAAAAGATGGCATCAACTTCTCCCCCTTTGGAAGGCAGGAGCCTCATGGAGCAGACAAAGGCCCAGCAGCAGACGAAGGCCTCATGGCCCATATGACGCCAGCCTCCTCCCCATGGCAAAGAACAGCAGAACGGTCATGGCAGGTGAAATAGCTGGGCTGAAGTCATTTTGTGTGTTCTTTCCACAGCTTGGCACAGTTCACAGTGGTTTGGTGCCACTTCTCTTTCCCCCAGCTAGCTGATGACAGGAGCGGGGGCATGGCAGATTCCCCCTGGAACTCCATTTGAATCCCAACTGTCAGCTGTTTCGGTGCATTATAAAACACAGGGAAGTTACTCCCAGAGTAACTTTATTTGATGGTAAACTTCCCCTTTTCCTCTCCCAGGACCCTGAACAATGGGGGAAAGGGCACTTATATTTGGGGTACATTCCAGGGGAGGGCACAATCTTTAATAAATCAGGAGAATTGGGAGTAAAAAACCAGGTGGGAATTACAATGTATGAACCAATAAAATTCCAAGGGAAGAAAAACAGTTTCAGTAAACTGCTAAAGTTTGGAGAAATAGAAACTAGAAACTAACAATGAAAAAGATGACATAAGTTCTGGGAAAAGGCAGGGACAAAAAGAAAACAGCATAAAGAACATTTCCAAATTACAAAGCAAACCATAAACCTACTAATAAAACAAAAAGCACAATACAACAGTTTGGGTTGGAGCAGGGAAGCTCTACTCCTGCCAGTGTGATGTCCCAGTCTCAGACAAGCAGCTGCTCAGTTTGCCTCAAGGCAGCCTAAAAATCACTACTGCAGCTTCTCCGAGACAAGGAAAGGCAAAACTTTTGCCTAGGCAAAAACCAAGCCAGCCATGATAAAATCACGCCACACAGAGCCCTGAAAAACCTGGGAGGGGAGCTTTTAAAAAACACCCACACAGAACAAAAGCACTCCATTCCCCCTGCCTCACACACTCAAGGTCCCGGGGTTGAAGCCTCTTAAAGATACAGTAACAATTTCTGGAAAGAGAATAGAGGCTATCTGAATATACTGTCATAATAAATCACTCCAAGGCACTGAGGCACAGCATAGGTTGCTCAGAGCAGTGTGGAATCCTACTTTTCCCACAGTCAGGGTCAGTAGAGAAAACAGACACCAACTTCAGGAATAAGTGTAATTTACTGTAATCCAAAATTGCAAAGAAATGCAAAAGGATAAGCTAAGCAATGCATCTAATAATTGCTCTAAAAGACTGCCTACAGTGGTGAAGAAAGACACATCACAAGTTACCCTAATACTTTACCATCATCGAGGTCTGCCCATTCAGCTGGGGGAAGCCACTGTCACAACACTGGGGAATCACTATTTGCAAGCAGGAAATTCTGCAGGTGCCTTCCCCTACAGGCAACAAGGTTTCTCACTGCACTGGGAGAGGGCCCTCTTTTTATACTGTTCAATAAACAACTTTCCATAACTTCTAGAGCAGGAACATCTGGTTTTGTTCTCCTATTGGGATGCTCCCAAGGCCTTGGAGCGTTTCAGGAGGAACCAAGGGAGTTGTCTGTGATACTACACACCAAAAGAAGGCCAGATGTGGCCTTCTCCAGCTTCTAAATAGAGAAAGGAAAATCCATGTTTTGTCAGTGAGCAGATGTAGGTAACAGTTAGAAGGTAATCTAGAGACCAACTTTTGGTCAAGAGCTGTTGTTCCTGCCTTGGTCAGGGCCTGTTGATCAGGACTTAGTACTTCAATGCCCCGATCCCTCAAAGTGTTCAAGGACAGCTTCTGAGCCAGGCTCTGAACAGCCTTCTCCAATGCAAGCTGTCCCTCCGTGCCCAAGGCAAGGGTTCAGAGTGAGATGATTTCCAAAGTCCCTTCCACCCCAAACCATTCTATGGCTCCTCAATTCCATGTTGCCCCTCCCCCAGTGGGCCCTGTGCCACAGAACCCCACAGGGCCCAGAACATGGAACCCACCCCTCTGTGACATCAGCCCCAGGGCCAAGGGCACCATGGGCACAACGGCTGCTGTGGGCACTGCGGCTGTGGCTGTGCTGCTGCGCGGAGCCCTCAGTGCTTGCAGCTGACACGTGCCTCTGGCAGCCATGAACTGGTTCAGCTTCCTCGTCCTGCTGACCGTGGTCGGGCTGGCACAGAGCATCCAGTACACCTGTGGGTAAGTGGCCCCAGACCCTGGTGGGGAGCCACGGCAGCACTTGCGGCCTTCCCTGGAGAGTACCCGCCTGTCCCCCATGGCCAGGCCAGAGCTTCCCACCCACCACAGGAAGCCTCAGCTCCTTGCCAGCAACCAGGCGCTGGCACGGACAGACGCACAACCCATGGGCTTCCCTGGCCTGCTGTGTGTGCAAGCCCTTGTGGGGAGGGCAGAGGGCTGAGCTTCAGCCTGAGCCACAGCAGGCCATGAAGCAGCACGGAAATTACTTTCTGCTTGCAGAGGGAGCTGTGGGCTCCGAGCTCCACCACCTATCTACAGCCCCATGACTTATTCCTACGGTGACACGGCTTATGACTACGGCACGACACGCATTGTGGGTGGTATAGGTGCTGCGGAAGCAGAATGGCCCTGGCTCGTCAGCATCCAGCACCCCTGGGTACCAGGCCTGGGACATTGGTGTGGAGGGTCACTCATCACGGCAGATTGGGTCCTCACAGCAGCCCACTGCTTCGACAAGTTTGAGTAAGGAGGAGCAGGGAATGGGGACATCCCCCCAATCCCAGCAGGTGCCCTGTCAGCAGCATCACCTGCTACTCCCATTCCCTTTCCTCTCAGGCAGCCAGGCTGCCACCCTGCTCAGGAGAAGCCTGGGCTTGTGCCAAGGCTTCCTAGCAGCCTCCAGCTTGACATCCCCCCAGCCTAAGATGTGCAAAGGCACTCACAACCTGCCAGAGCACTGCTCCCTCTCTGCTTTGCCCAGCCAAGGTCTGGCAACTGCTGGGCTGCTGGGTGACTCCCTCTCAGCCCTCTCTCCATCTCCTTTCCAGTAACATCAGCCTGCTGTATGTGTTGATTGGGGCCACCCAGATAAGTCAGCCAGGCCCTGGGGCACAAGTGCGCAGTGTCAAGAAGGTGGTCGTACACAGCGACTACAGGCGTAGCGACTACAGCTACGACATTGCCCTGATGCAATTGGACCGTCCTGTCCTGTGCAGCTCCTACGTCCAGCTGGCCTGTTTGGCTAACCCCACCCTAAGAGTCTCAGAGCTGAGAAACTGCTGGATTGCTGGCTGGGGTGCCACTACTGCAAGAAGTGAGTTTCAAGAGCAACTTCTGGGCCAGCTCAGCACACTGGGGAGAGGGTTTGGGCTTCCCCACAGCAGAGGCCAAAGCCAGGCTGCAGGATGTACACCCTTGCAGAGATGGGCCTGGCCCTAGGGAAAGGGATGCCCCTGACAGGGAGGGAGCACCAGCATGGTGCTGCCGGGGGCTTATTCCTTTCTCTGCTCACAGGTCTAGATTCAGCTGATCGCCTTCAGCAGGCCAAGGTCCAGCTCATTGATGTCCAGCTCTGCAACAGCAGTGACTGGTACGCAGGAGAAGTCCACCCGTACAACTTGTGTGCTGGTTACCCACAGGGTAACATCGACTCCTGCAAGGTAGGAGCGTGCCATGAGCCACTCAACCCCCAGCAGCACTGGCAGCCAGGGCAGCACCACCCCAACACAGCCCAGGGCCTGCTTTGCCCGGCCACTCAGTCGCCCTCCCAGCCCCAGCTCCCCACCGACTGCTCTGGGGGCTTCCCACACACTCCCCACCACACCTGCCTGCCCAGGATTCCCCTTGTGCCAGAAACCCCAAGAGCCCAGCTAATGCTCCTGGTAGCAGAGGTCCAGGTGCCACATGTCCATCCTCTGCACATGCAGGAGTCCTGTGCAGAAATGACAGAGAGAGCCCTACACTATAGGACCCCATGTCATTCACAGCCAAGCTTCTGGAGGCTCCAGCCCCTGAGCAGAGCTTTCCTCTGCCCAGAATACAGCTCTGTTAGGGGCTGTGAGAGAGAAGGAGACAGCCCCAGTGCTGGCAGGTGCCACCAACACCATCTTAATCCTCTGTGCTCTGCTGCAGGGTGACAGCGGTGGTCCTCTCATGTGCCAAGAGAAAAACAGTGACTACTGGTGGGTCATTGGAATAACCAGCTGGGGAAAAGGCTGTGCCAGAGCAAGGCGTCCTGGAATCTACCTCTCCATTCAGTACTTCTATGACTGGATCCTACTCTACATGAACCTGAGCCCAGATGGAAGTTCCTCTCCATCATCTCGGGCATGTAGTCATTTTTTTATCACTTCACATCCCTGGAGTCATTATATTCCCACCCCACAATCCTCTCAGAAGCCATGGGTAAGACCAACCCTCTCTCCAAAACCAACTCCAGTACGAACATTGGGCAAAGTTAACTGCTGCCCATTTCCCTTCAAGATTCTGATGGAATTCTTTACTCAAGTGAAGGAACTCCTCCAGCAGACCTTTGGTCAAAACACATCTTGAGCAACAGGACAGCCATGGTTAGGGCATACTGCAGTGCACCACAACAGTTTCCTGCTGGGGCAATGCCTGCTGATCCACAGGCAGCCTCAGGGTCAAAACCCTGCTCTGTCCTGACCACAGTCCTCTCCTTTGTGCTCACACACAATGGAGTTGACTTCCCTGATTGAAGTAAAGTTGTCTATGGTCACAGGGAACCATTGTTTTGGTCCAATTCCAACTCCTGGGCAAAGCAAGGACTTCCATGGTTGGCACCTGCAGAATGAGCCTGAAGTCAGACCTGCCAGGCACAAAGGGACAAAATGGCTCCAAAGAGCTGGTGAGAAAGGAGAGTACTCTGAGACACCATGGGCTGGAGGAACCTGCTACATCCAGCCTTGCAAAGGGATAGGAAAAATGCACACACCTTGGGGGTGGTGCTCAAATGCACATGGGCTGTTAATTTAGGGCCTGGTGTGAGCCTGGGCTAAGGGAACAATCCTGGGAAACTCCCAAGCATGGCAAGGGAAACTCCTAGCTCGTGACTGGAGTGCCAGTGCCCTAAAGCAGAGCCAGATTTCATGGGTAGCAAAGGGGCATTGATTTGCCAAGTGGTCACACTTCACAGATACTCAAAGGAAGTGCTGGGGTCATTCTGGGGAGAGGAACCTGTCAGGAACTGTGGAAAAGTACACCAGGAATGCCATGGAAGGCCAAGGTGAGTGGGCCAACACCACCTGCAACACCAAGGCTGTTCACAGGCAGGGCCAACCTGTGAGCCAGGGGGAAATGATGCCTGGACATGGCTCCATATTTGGGAGGAGACGAGGGCAGAGAAAGGGAGAAGTTGAGGGAGATGAGAGGGCTGTATAAGCCTGGCCAATGGAGAGAAGGAGCAATCAAAGGGCCAGCTGCACAGAGGCAAACTGCAGCATGGTGGGCTCCTTTGCCTGAGGGCTGTAGATTATCACCACAGGATGGGAAAGCAATTTCTTATCTCAACTCACTAATTAACAAATCATCTACAAACTGTACAAATTTGCACCAAAATTTTTGCCCTTTTCAATCAAACTTTTATACTGTTTGCCAGGGAAGGGGGGAAATGGTAGAGGATCCTGGAATGCCATGGGGTAGACTTGTTGAAGGTAGTTTTCATCTGTCTTTTCCAGGTGAAGGCAAGATGACTGGATGAATCTCAAAGTGGCAAATACTTTGTTCAGTGTCAAGACACACATTTTGAGCATTAATAGTATTGCTTTCACAAATGAATCCTAGTTGTTCTCTAGCAGCACAAGATTCTAAATTTACTGTTTGCCACTTTTCATTCATATTTCATGCCCACACCCTATGTTCTGAGGGGTAGAGCACCATTTTTTCATTATTTAATCCTAGTGTAATGATGGGGTGGATCTAATTTGCATATTACATATGTAATTTACATATTACATATAGTAAGCACAAAGGCAGTGGCCGCATTAGAAGCAGGATCATAGGTAAAATTTACCATCATCCACAAGGACTGAAACTTTCTTTCAAAATCAATCACATTATCCCAGACAATCTTTTGAATTTCAGCTGGAAAATCACCTTCACCCCCTTCCCATATGATCAAAGCTGCTGTTGCCTGCATCCACAACTGTGCTTGTATACAACTGAAAGCTCAAGACACGTTATCTTCAACTCTGCTAAGTGCTTCCACTATTAACTTCTGGTCTTAGTCCCTGGCCTTCTCCCACTTTGGCAGTACTTTTGAAATCTGCCACTGACTACTGCCTAATGCCAACAGAGATTACTGCAGGGGCTGTTTTAATTTTGCTAGACCACCTGCTGCAGTGGCCAGCTTGTTGATCAGTGAAATAAATAGGGCAGGAGATCTTTCTCCTTTTTAATGCCTTTATTAAAGAGAATCAGCTCAGGTGGGGAGAAATCGACGGGTCGTGCCCACGCTGCCAGTGCTCCCAGGAGTGGCACAGAGGAGGAGGAGGAAGAATGCATACCAGTGTCCGCTGGTATGCAGGCAGAGCTGGGGCTTCCGTCCTCATGAGAGCAATAGGAGATTCCGCCTTTTCAGTCTGACATTCAAGGGCCTCTTTCTAGCTGACATCCTTTTAGGTTAGAGTGAGAGGTAAAAAGGATCTTAGCAGACACAGGATTATATAAATCCCTCACCTTTAGACATCATCTTAATTCCATGATGGCACGTTGTTTTCAACTTAAAAAAAATGGACAACTTTTCTACTCATAACAATCAGTATTTCTGAATTAATTCTATTTAAATCCTATCCCTAATATCCCAGTTAGATCCCTTTTTATTCTGCTTCTGAGGTGTACTTGTCTCTGTAACCACATTGTGCAGCCCTCAAAGGATGTTCTTAGGAAAGAGGAGCAGTCTGATTGGATTTCCAAGATGTTAATTTGCATTAGCAATTCAACACATTTGAGAGACCACTCTGGATTGAACAACAGTTGTTGTTGACCCATATTCCTCACTGCCTATGGGCCTATTTCATATACTTTAGTTTCAAGTTTGGTTTGGGTCTGAACTGCTTGTGTACTGGTGTGAGTTGTGTGAGGTCTTCCCATTGTAAAAGGTACAGCTTCTATTTTAAATTTAAATGAGAGCCCGACAATGTCATGAACCCAAAGACAAGTTACTTCTACAGGCTGTATTAATGTGAAATTATACCAACAGTCTGATTTACTTGCGCTATTACAAACCCCCCAGTGCCTGTATACATGAGAGGCTGAAACACTTATTTGATTTGGTCTCTCATGAGTGGTCCCATTGACCACCTGGCATCCTACCCTGATTTCTTCTCCTCTGATCCCTTGAAGAGTCCACAGTTCCTGTTCCTGCCACTCCTGTTTCACATATACCTGATTCCCATGGATTACTACAGTGGATAGGTTTAAATCTTTCATCTCAGAAGGTTCTCCCATGGATCCAGTACACTGATTAAAAGCCTGGGACCAAGGCTATTCAGCATCATTTTGGATAGAGGTACTCTCTAATCCCAAAACTCCAATTACAATTATACACAAAACAATTTTGTAAATGAAATTACAAACTACCCCTGGCCGCAATATACTCATTTTGCCTGAGTAAGTTTTAGTCTCAGTTCATCGTCACTTTCCAAGGGGCTTCTGGGTCCTTCTTCACTCAAGAGTGGTGGATCCAGGCATTCTGCTCCTTGATCTTGATTGCAGTGAAGGTAGTGAGAAACACTTGGAACGGTCCTCCCCACTGTGGTTCCAAAGTCTTTTCTGTAAGAAACTTAACATATACCTAATCTGCAGGCTATATTTTATGTACTGGTCCATCTAGCTCCCTGCTCCAAATTCCAGCTACATGTTTTTCAATTTCTCTGAGCTGTTTGCTTAAAGCCACCACATAGTTGGCTAATGTTACCTCCCCAATGTGAATGGACATTCCCTTTTGTATTCCATATGGTCTTCCATAAAGCATTTCAAAGGGACTCAGCCTTTCTTTAGTTCTAGGTTTAATTTGAATTCACAACAGTACCAGTGGAAAAGCTTGGGGTCAGGGTAGATTAACTTCCTGCCCCAGTCTTACAATCTGCTGCTTAATCAAATGATTCATTTTCTCCACCTGACTGCTCGACTGGGGGCAGTATGGAATGTGAAGTTCCCAGTCTATGCCCAGATGGCTACTAATCTCTTGCACTATTCTGGAAATGAAATGTGATCCTCTATTTGAGGATATTGTGGCTGGAACTCGGAAGTGTGGTATTATTTCTTGTAATAATACACTGGTCACCTCTCGAGCCTTGACAGTTCTGGTGGGGAACGCTTCTGGCCACCCTGAAAATCTATCTGAAAAAACTAATAAATACCGACACCCACCCTTTCCTTGGGAGTTCTGAAAAGTCAATTTGCCACTGCTGTCCAGGCCCATGGCTCCTTGGCTCCTCCCAAACTGACCAAGTTTTGGTCTGGAAGTATTCTTGGGGTTAGTCTGGAGGGAAAGATCGCACTGTCGGATCACTTGAGTAATAGTGGCATATAAATTCCTGGCAACAATTCTTTCAATCAGAGAGGTGTACAGGGCTTCTATTCCTCAGTGTATTTTGTGGTGCTCCTCCCTTACTAGTGACCACAACAAATGGGAAGGGATTACCAGCTTCCCTTCAATGGTAGCCCACCCCTCTTGGTTTTATGTCTCTTTTTGATCTTCGATTAGTTTTCTGTCTTTCTTATTATATTCTGGCTTACCTTCAAGGAAAATTTGTCCATCTGGAATTGGAGCTACTTCAATAATTACCTCACCTTTCGCTGCTTCCTTTGCCTCTCTATCTGCCAGTTCATTTCCTTCCTCTAATTCTGAGCTCACTCTATGGTGTGCCTTAATATGCATAATTGCTACCTTTTCAGGCAGCTGAACTGCTTCTAGCAGCCAGATTATGTCTTGTGCATGTTTGATGTTCTTTCCTTGTGAGGTTAGCAGTCCCCTCTCTCTCCAGATGGCTCCATGTGCATGCACAACTCCGAATGCATACCTCGAGTCTGTATAGATGTTTATTCTCTTTCCTTTTGCCATTTCCAAGGCACAGGTCACTGCAATTATCTTGGCCTTCTGTGCAGAGGTGCCTGTTGGTAAGGGTCCAGATTCTATTACCTCTCTGCAAGTAGTCACTGCATATCCAGTATGACACTTTCCACTGGCAACATAGCTACTCCTGTCAGTGAACCAGGTCTCTGCATCGCCCACAGGAGTGTCCTTTAAGTCTGGGTGGCTGGAGTAAGTAGTTTCAATGGTCTCCAGGCAAACATGGTGTACTGTTTCTTCTTGATTTCCACTGAGAAAAGGAGCTGGGTTGACAATATTAGCTACCACTATCTCTACATCATCTTGTTCTAACATGATGGCCTGGTATTTCAGGAACCTCTGTGGTGAAAGCCAGCGGCCACCCTTTACTTCCAGTACTGTGGACACTGTGTGGGACACTAGCACAGTCTTTTCTGTCCCAGGGTAAACTTGCGTGCTTCTTGAATATTCAGCACAA